AAAGCCTGGGAGACGAACCTCTCACAAAGGCCGATCACGCAAACTCACTGTATTAACAACAATTATGCATTGTTATAGCATAGGCCAGTGTGTCAGCAGCACCATTGTTTGCTTGCCCTGACTACCCACTTTTCTTCACTTATTTTAGGTGATCTTCCAGAGTCTTGTTAAGTTTGTTCAGTGATGGGTGTGTAATTAAATGATCCAAGTTAAGCTCGAACGTATTATAAAGCGGATTTTTAATTAGGCCTACGTGTTTCGTTAAAATTTACATGGAAACTAATACTAAACAGGAACACCACCAAAAAACCTGCATTTACCAAAAAATATATTTACAACGTAAATCAATTGATAAAATTAGTTTGTTAGATCCACTCATCAATACACCGGGAGATTGTCTCTAGTGACGTAATTCTTTTTTCTCCATGAAATTGTTCAAATCACATTAGTATTGTTGCGAAACGTCTCTTATTTTCAAACTTAATACTGTTTAATTATGGAAAAAGACATTTGTTTTACTGTCGAATATTTGTCATCTGCATCACAGTGTCAAATTTTAGCATGTTGTTCGTTTTTGTTATTATTTTATAGAATTATATTATTTACTTCACAGAGCCTTAACTCAGATTTTATAAGAAATCAGCTATGGCATTCCTTGGTACGACTATCCGCAGTCCATTAGCTGTATGTGCTATTAATTAACAGCTGTGTCTAAGGAATGTCGGCCTTAGTCACTAACAAGAATACAAGATCGCGCCACTCATCCTACAATCATCTCCATTCGTACTTGGCTTAAATTGCCTACTTTATATGGCCGCCATTTAAAAAGAAAGTATTAAAGAAAGTACATAATCAGACTCTGTTAAATTTCACCTAAATTGATGCAGTAAGGGTTTTCGTAATTACAGAGGCAATTAAGTAAATGCAGACATCGGGAGAAACCTTTTTTTATTAATAGTACTCGTAGGACCCGTGTTATGCAATGGAATGAAAACATGAAATATAAGAATGCAACTATTAAAAAAATACTGCTGACAATGTATACCATACCACCATTACTCTAACAAAGTATTTTCCTAGCATATTTGTGGCCATTTGTCCGACAGAATGCAGATGTCAAGAATCTCAAAAAAGTAAATGAAAAATAAACCCGCCACAGCAAACCCGCTGTACAGGGGAATTCCCACTTGCCTGATTATACTTTCACTAAACTAGGTTTGCGGTCCCAGGTCCGCCAATCGAGCGGAGCAAACAAAAAAGTAAACAAATAATATTTTTCTAAATTAAATTTAAATTTAAAAATATACTGTAACATAACATCTAAAGAAAGCTTTGAATAGTAAATAATATACTTCATCTTACGAGTACCTAACCGACATTTACTCTTTTGTTGTTGTTTATGTTTGTAACTCTCTATCAAAAATGGCTCAATTAGCAAGGCCTCAAAAGTCCATGTTCTCAATATCGACTATGCTAGATATGCCTAATGTAACCCCAGAAGAAATTTTGATTTTCCCAGGTCCACTACATCTATATATGGCATCCTCGGCTGAGATGTACTGAAATAACATAGTATACAAAATTTACTGGCGATTGCCTTCATAAACATTTTACTCCATTCAATTTAAAGGAAAGCAATTACTTATTAAGAATATGTAACCGCTAGTTGTACAAAGTGGGTACAATGTTTTTTTTCAAATTGCACTAAAATGTAAATAAGAAATCTTTAAGGTAATTTTCATCGTCGGAAAATTTCTAAAATTCTAAAATTTCTAATGATGTAAGCTGCAGTACTAATGCTACCATTACATAGGCTTGCAGAGGTCCAAAGATTATTCCGAACATGACGACCTTTTTAAGTAATATTTTCGTAATGCTCTGTAATACTTTATGTATATTCTTTCATCAATCGTTCCAACAGATTTTTTTCCTTTGTACTGTATTTAGTCGTATATTAGCTTGCTAACAATCATATTGTGTTAAGATTCTTTGTTTACATGTACGTTGTTTTTTTACAGCATTTATTTCTAGACCAATGAGGACATTATGCACACAACTTTTAACAAAATATGAATAAGAAAATAGAAATAATAACATCGCGGGTTCGCAACTCAGTTTATTTAGATCTCTTCATGTATGCTTGTTTCTAATAAACCAGGGAGCATTCACTGCTTTTTGATATAGCTAGTAGCCTACGTTGTTATCTCGTAATCATCATAGCAACCCAAAAGGTTATTTTTTAAAATGTTAAGTTAGTTTTAAATTGTACAATTATTATCAAATTGAAATTTGTTTGATAAATAACATGCTCAGTTCAGCCATTATTGAGTGATTCAATTACACGTTTTGTATAAGGCCCGCGCTCAAAGAGCTTCGCTCGCTCCACTCAACTATTTTCCTCAAACATGTCAGATTTATTAACTTAAGCTAAGACAGTTTTTATTTTAAATGAGTCTTTTCGAAACAGTTTATAGCATGAAAAAGATTCACTTTCTAGTAATGTTCACTTACCGTACTTAATTGTTTTGTTACTCTACACAGTGCAAGTATGCACTAATATTCAAGTATTGGGGGAAAATAAGTAAAATTGTAATGCTTCGATCATAAACTTATCAGTTGTTAGGGACAATTTCATTGATTATATAATAAGTGAGTAGTTGGGACAATGATGAGTCGTTACGTTACAACCAGTGACAATGAGAGTTTATAAACGAAAACATAACCTCCCTTATGGCTGAAGAGGACAAAGTCCTAAAACAGCTTTAGTCCAGTGGTGTTTCAGCTCACAGGACTGAAACATCACGAAGAAGAAGAAGAACCTCCCTTAGACGTTATGACTAGTGATTGTTACTAACTAAAAAGCGGTCGTAGGTAAAATAGTGTATGCAGCACGCGTAGTTAGCGTTTCAGACACGAGTAGAAAATTTAATATACGAGCCTTGTTGCGTAAACTACTATAATAACATTAGGTTAAAAAGTACTTGGGTTTACTGCAACAGGTAAGGCACAGGGAATAATGTGATTGTTTTGGTGAAATGTGTGCTTAGTACGAAATAAATAAATTGGCCAAATTTAACTTTGATCGCATTCAATCAATAAGCAGGCAACTCACAACAGTTTACTTAATATCCAGAATTCATCGACATTTTAAATGCATTTTTTAAAAACTCCGAAACTATTAAGCCTACAAAAACACTTCAAGGTACGATGGCATCCTGGAGTTTTACTAAGATCGCAAGCCCTGTCACATACTTGGTGAAGGTAGAAGACCGGAGAAGGTTTGTGCATGCTGACCACCTTAGAGCAAGTCACAAGAAAAATATGATATAACTGTACAATTTCCAATATAAATCTATTCACTCCCGAAAGAGATAACATTGCAATGTGAAGATACAGCAAAATCTCCATCACCAAACCAAACCAATACCTAGATGGTCACCGCCCAAGATCTCCATTTCTACAAACAATGACACATCATCAGATTATGCTATTATTCGACGCCCTTAAAAAGAACCAGAAGAGTGTCAGCATAATTGGATCCATACAAAAATCTTCCCTTTATGTAGATATATTTGTAAGTGTTTTTTTTTTATTTTACGTTGGGAGTTGTTATAAAATAAATTTTTATTTCATAGAGAATACCACCAGAAGAATTATTATTTGTTATTGTTTGATTTAGAAGGCAAAGCAAATGCATATAGGTACCAAATTATGTGCTGTTTTAAGCTATATAAAACTGTTTTGAAAGAAATTGCTAATTTTTATTGCTTTGTGGTAAAAATGGGAAAACCCCATGTTGATCCCATAAAATGCGGTTCTCATTATTCCCTTACGGTATGTCGGTTTCCAAACTCGTTTCAATTTACAAGTTTGTACAGAATTTAATCATGATCACGTTAATTCAATTCTGCTCTCGAAGTTATCATGTAACGGATACATAGTATAAATATAAATATTGAAAAAAATATTTTGATCACTAATTGAGGACTACTAGTTTTTTTATTAAATAAGTAAATTTACTAAATAGTGACATTCTTTAATTTCTTCATGCTTATTCCCTATATTATGTGAAATTTGCTAAGAGCAATGTTATAAAATACTAGCTGTTTGGCCCGCTATTCGCTCGGGCAATATTTTGAGAAAACCAGCATTTTATATATATATATATATATATATATTAAATTGCATTTAAAATGTATGCAAAAATCTTATTTAATAACCACAAGGTACCAAGAAACAAACATTCGTACAAATAAAAACAGAACGAAACATACCATTAATTTACTTACATCCCCTGTTTTGCATTTTACATTCATACGTTTTGTTGGTAAGCAAATCTAACTAAAATTCTTTCAAAATTCCTGACGTGGGTACCTTTAAGATGGTCCCAGGGTTAAGCCATAAAAATCTTTCAAACGTTATATTGGCATTAAAAGTATATATGATAACGAAATGTTTATCATTTTACTGTTTACCAGCCATTTATAATTCTCATTAAAAGTGTTAATTAAATGATGGTGAGTGATTTCTGATTTTGTTAAGGTATTTATAGGTCTATATTCACATTGAACTAAACGAAATAAATAAATTAATCAATATAATATTAGCATAATAGATTAATATAAATCCAAGGTTAGTGAAATAGACAAAATCAGTTGGCTAATCCTAGTTAACAAACCGGCAGATCTCTGATAAATAAATCTGTTTGCTAAATCTGTTGCCTACCCTCCTAAGCGTAAAGGCTGACCTTCCTTAAATCAATTTGACTTATTTTTTCCAAAGCGACTGGCCTTACATATCCGAAGAATCTATCTGGTATCCTAAACAAATAAGCTTAAGGAGTGATGAAAAGACATTTCTAGTATTTCCTTTGAACTAGTTAATTAATTGAAATGCTGTTTGAACGAATTTCGAGACCATTACAAATATCCTGCCAGGATGTTGGGTAACTCAGTCAGTATATATTCTGGTGTCATCTTTGATCAACTCAGATCATCCTCTCACTACAACATCATGAACATTCTAGCGGTGAGTAATTCTTTGCTGCCAAATAATAACTAACAATGGTAATTTAAAATAATTTAATATTTAATTTAAATTATCTATTGTATGCATAAAACATGCCATCATGTCACAATAACTATCATCACTTGCCCTACTCGTCCATATATACTAGAAGTACATTTTTAATAAGCGAGGAGTAATACAGTATTCTGCCCCTTTCAACATTAGTTAATCAACCTTAGTAAATTGGGTGTCACTCATACAACAACGTTAAAATTTGATGTAATAGTGTTAAATAATATATCTTGAAAGTTTAAACGATAATATTAATAATTAAATTAAATTATAATATTAGTTTTTTGGTCGTTGTACTTTTAACTACACAAAGATGTTTAGGTAGTCCTATTAAATATGAATTAACTACACCACTATACATCAAAAGACTTCACAATCCCATGATCTACATTTCCAATTATAATCAAATGTAATTTCCTTTATGCAATAACTTAATCAATGATTCCTTGCTTATTTAAAATGTCTTTTATATATTTTATGAGGGAGAGGCTCATTTGTAATTTCGTCCGCTGATGTATGGTTACGTACAAGTGAATTATGTGAAAACAACCATAATAATCCCTCGAATTCGTAAATGTGTGTATTGGTTTGGATATTTGGTTGTATATTTGGATATTTAGTCGAATATTTAGACATAAATATTCGAAATCATAGACGAAACAGTCGACATATTTACATCAGTAAATGTTATTGAGCAGATATCTATAGTTATCCAAGGATTTAAAACCACATGACTACATTATAGTACAATAAACAAATGGACTTGGTAAAAATATACTGATGAGATTAAGTGTAACTGTGATATTAACTAAGTAATTAAAAGTAAGTAAAACTAATATAATTAATTAAGTAACTGAGGCATACTCGATTACACTTTTACATTACCATAGACCTATTCTGAAATTTGACTTTGTAGTTTTTGTATTATGTAGATTGGTGTATTATTATAATATTAGCTAAACGTGTTGTTAAACGACATTAAACTGATAACATTGCACTAGAAACACACTGTTGGTTACATATGATAACAAACTACATTTTAATGACTAATAGGTACTGTAGTATCAATTCCCTTTAAGTTTTATAGGCTACGATTTTGGTATCAAGAAAACTGAATAAAACATTTAATGACAAATCAATAATCATAATTAATAGATTAACTTAAACATTATGTTACTATAAAAAAAAGTTATACGTCAAAAACCAAAGAGGTAAAACCAAATATGAAACATACTCCTCCCTTTTGTTGGTTAGTCTATAGTTAAACTGTGTTATGTAACACATGTATTATTTTTAACCAAATGTTACATATTTAATGTATATACTCAAAGCTAAACTCTACCTCCTTACGACTTACAAACTTGACTCAAACGACTTGAACAAACTAAATCTTAACAGAGATTCGAAGGATATTTTTTGGGAGGTTTGACTTAATAGTATAGAGACGTTTGGCTGTTGAACTAAAAAATTTTGCCTTGACCACGTTGAATTGTTTGTCTTTTTTAGATATCCCTGGCGTTCGCTGCCCTGTACACCAATAGCGTGTACTGCAGCTACTACCACGGACCCATCGCCAAGCCTGTCGTCCTCCACAACGGCTACCTGGCAGACACCCATGAAGTAGCAGCAGCCAAGAACGCTCATCTCGCCGCTCTAGCAAAGGAATCTCACTACGGAGGAGACTACGGATACGGTCATGGCCAGGAATACAGTGGCTCTTATGACGGTCATCATGGAGACATCAGGTACCACGGTCCCACCGCCATCCCACACGTCCTGCATGACGGACACATCGCAGACACTCACGAGGTGGCCGCTGCTAAGGCTGAGCATTTCGCCGCCGTAGCCAAAGCCAAGGCTCACGGAGGCTACGGTGACCACTACAGTGGCAGATACGCCTCAGACTACGGTGCCAACCATGGACACTCACATCATTTGGTGCCTTACCACGGACCCCTCGCCAAGCCCGTGGTGCTCAAGTCCGGATACCTGGCAGACACTCACGAGGTCGCCGCTGCCAAGCACCATCATCTGGAAGCTTTGCAAAAGGCCAGTCGTCATGGTCATTACGACTACCATTACTAACTGAATCCCAATAAATATATATAATGTATAAAGTAATTTTTAAGTGATTGCACACCCCTGCTAGTTCAGCGGTATCTCAGTCACATAAAATAATGGGGAGTTAAATCGGAGCTACAGCTTTCTGGTTCTTTGGTAAAACAGTTTTTAAAACTTTGTACTTAATGTAAACCATGGTTAGTGGTTATACATAGCCTTTTCTCACTTGTGGAGAGGCGTGAAGCTTAGGCTTTAAAGTACTCATTAAAATATAGAAGCATTAATCAATTCCCTTCTGTATTAAATTATTAAACTATGACTTTATACTTTGGCCTAAACTTGTACTGTATATAGCTGCGATTCGCATAAGGGATTTGCATGAAGGGATGGAACCATAAAAGCTGTCCGGGGTATAAAATGTGTTTTATCATGCTGAGAATATAAGCTTCTAATATATTGTGGTTAGAAGTTTATATTTAAAGAACTGAGGCTGCTTTCTATGAAACCCAAATGTTCTCTTCTACTAAAGATTGTAGTATTTATTAAACTGTTTAGGCTATGTTTACTGTGTCGAGCGAGGAGGTTTAGAAGTTTGATTATATATTACTAGCCCATTTACGCACTGAAAGCTTTGAAACTTTACTTTATATTACACTATACATACTAACTACACATATTATATACATATACACTATACATATCACACTATACTATATTACTATATTACACTATATAATGTAATATGTGTATTTAAATATATTTTGTGCAATTTCAATCTCCTAACATTTGTAGTAACAAAATGGTGATACATTGGAAGCTATCACCAAATTAATTCATATAAAATTATTGTCTGTAGTTATTAACTGAATTGTTTACTGCATTGCAGATCTATCAATTTTTATTGTTGTACAGCTATTTGATTGAAGCATTGCTGCAACCACAAAAATATTAATCCAACCTTCCAGTCCTAAGCCCATGGTTAATTTAACATAATTTCGAGATATGACTTTTCCAACAGCTTCTTTAACACTACGTAAAGCAATACCCCACGTACTAAACTTCTCGTTTTGTTCAACATTAAAGTTATAAATGCTGTAGGGGCTTGAAGGAGCAGAAGCCCCTGAAACCCAAACATAAGATAAATTATAAATCAAACAAACTAATAAATAAATAATATATGTGTTGTAATATACTGTAAACTATCTTTTATGTAGGGAAATTATAACTGATTGTTATTAAAACGTTTTTATTAGCGCGCTTTCTTGTCCGTTCCAAATTTTGCAATCGATTTTACACTAGAGCTAGAGACTTGAAACACAGTTCACAAATGGATGACAATGTAATATTATATCATTTAGTTTTTTTAATTTCCCTTGGGCTACGCCCCATGGGCTTCCAAAGTTTCAATGTTTACAATTTTGGAAGAATGTAATAGTCAAATATATCAATCGAAGTCAGCTGTAAATACTTTTATTTGTCAGTTAGTTAAAAATACCCCCGCCGCAGCAAACCTGCCGACTAAGCGAATTTCCATTTGTCTGAATTGATTTTCAGTTAAATATATTTTAATAACATTAGGTTTAACGAGTACCTAGGTTTGCTGCTACAAGGAAACTAATAAAGTGTGTTTTTGAGTAAAATATTGATAGCTCAGTACAAAATAAATAAATTTGCCAAGTTTGATCAAAATATATTCATAAACAAGCAAACTACAACATTTGACAATATTCTCCATAAGAATAACATGGGAATTTTAAATTTACAGTTTTTTTAATTTTCTCCGTTACTAATATTCGAACAAAAATACTTTTATATACTAAATTATTTGTTTTTTTAAGCTCTTTAAAAAGGTCTAAAGAGAAATTGGGAAATTTTGTGTTTTGAGGGTCAAAAGTGAGAAAAACCAATTTTTACCCCATAAAACCCCCCGTAAAGCCCCGTTCCCATGGTCCGATCGTGCTGGTTCGCGAACTCATTCAAGTTTATCCCGCTTTACACCTTTAAACCAAATTTTATCAAAATCGGACAAAAATTACTCAAGTTATCGCGTTCACGGACGTATATATATATATATATATATATATATATATATATATATATATATATATATACATATATAAAAATTTGAACGAATAGTGTTTTTGGCCTATGGGGACATCAAAATGAAAAAGTAAATCGGTCCCAGGTCTAGGTCTTACCGTGCCACCTACGGTAATAGCTACTTCCCTATAGGGAAATTCGCTAAAAACAGAGAGAAGTACAAGTTCTGCTCCCAAAAGATTCTAAAGTTTTGTGATTATAAGAATAGTAGCTTTTTGTTTACGATTTTGAACTAATTAAAACTTTTTTGGATTAGGATGTAATAATTTAAGATAAAACATCTTATTACTGATAAAATGGTTTTGGTTGAGTATTAACAGGTCATATATCAATAGATTTAACATATTTCGACATTAAAGACCAAAAAGTAGAAAATATTTTTTAAATATGTGGAGAGAATAAATACTTGTAAGATTTAAAACGAAAAAAGTGGGGCGCATGCAATAAACCAATTTACACAGTGCATCCTGTTTGTATGATTTACATCTATATTTCCTAATTGTGGATAAAAATAGCTAATATTTCAATAGGTGATGAAAATCATAAATTAGCTATTGCATGCGCTCCACATTTTTAGTTTTAAATCTTCCAGGTATTTATTCTCTCCACATATTTATAAATTATTTTCTACCTTTAATGCGTTTAAAACGCTATATTTTTTAAAAGTTTTTAAACTATAAATTATTTTATTTCTTCTAGAGTTTCAGCTCTGTCAAATCAATAAAGATTTTGTCTTTGAGTAAATACTGGTTTACGTACTTCCAAGCTATGTGGAAGGTTCGGCCTTGTAACTTATTATTGGCACTGTAGTACAAAAAGCTTCTTCATACTTCATACTTGGCTTAAAATACCTACATTCATATGGTCGCCATTTCAGAATAAAGTATGAAAAGCAAGTATAAGCAAGTCTGATCCGAAAGTAGACATTAGCTTGTAGTTTTGAATTATCTTTTATTCGGTAAAAAAAGTTATTAATCCACAACTTATCTACAATTCCAAAACTTTACTGTGAAAAAGATGATCAAAACTTCATAACCTACGATAAGTAAGCCTACGATGATCAAAACATCTATCTACGATTCTTAAGATATTTAACAGACAAGACTTTAAAAACAACGATAGTAAATATAAATATAATTAAAACGTAACCTAGAATAAAAAAAAAATTACTGTGCAATAAACATATATGTAGAAGTGAACAAACAAACAAGACAGAAAATTCTGGACTGTGATCTTGGGAGAAATTTTTATACAAGTTCATAGCAATAACAACTTAAATTAGGGACATTTTATGGCTTTCAGTTTGCAGGTGAACATGTCAACATGTTGCTTGATTTCCAAAACGGTTCAATTTACAAAATTATTTTTTGTTTAAGCTCTACAAAATGGTTTAGAGAGAAATAATGAAATTTTGTGTTTTTAGGGTAAAAAATGGGAAAAATCAATTTGTACCCCATAAACCCACGTTCCCATAGTCCAATTATGCTGGTTAGCGAACTCGTTCGAATAATAGTAGGTTTACATGTTTGTACCATATTTCATCAAAATTGGATCATTTTTGCTCAAGTTATTGCGCTAACGGACACATATATATATATTATGAATTTGGACGAATGGTGTTTTGGCCTCTGGGGACCTCAAAACGAAAAAGTAAATCCGTCCCGGCTCTAGGTCTAACCATGACACCTACGGTAATAGCGTATTCCCTATATGGGGAATTCGCTAAAAAGTAAAAAAAATTGTTTGAATTTTTTTTCATAATTAGTATATTTTTAAGTTAAACTACTGGCAGCCTTAAAAACCTGTATAATAAATTTAACCTAGGACATGGGGGTGGAGCCCTAAAATGATAGTCGAAAGGGTTAAATGTATGGCCCAACTTGACGCCCATAGAGCGCAGAAAGCGAGTCTGAATGTTTTCTACTCTTGATATATATCTGATTTGATGTGGATTCCATATCAAGCTACCATATTCCAACACAGGCCTAACTTGAGTCATGTACTGAGTCCTTATAGCATTGACGTCCAGTCCTTATCTACCACATCTAATGACAAAACCTTCCAAAACCAAAAGCTTTAGAGGCTTTGTTGCACATTGTATTTATGTGCTGGTCAGGGTTTAAATCGTATGACATTAAAACTCCTAGATCTCGAATGGAACTCTTCTGTGGCAGGATGACATTATTTATCTTGTACAAGAAGTCAATACGTTGCTAGGTTCGGTATGATGATAAGATACCACTGCAGATTTTGAAAATTTATGTCCATGCTGTTTGCCAGGCACCAGTTGTCGATTGAGTGCAGACATTGCTGGAGGGAGGTATAGTCGGCCTGAGACTTGATACAATTGAAAACCTAGCAATCATCAGCAAACAACAAGCACTGAGAGTCAATACAATCCACAATATCGTTAAAGCTGGGTTTTCTTAGGCGCGGAGTCGGCGAGCGGAGAGAGGAACGCGGAGAGCGGAATTGAAATTAACATGGCATTCCGCTCCGCTTCTAGGAAAACAGTAACATTAAATTGCCTAAGACAAATGGAGTCCGCTCTCCGCGTTCCTCTCTCCACTCACCGATTCCGCGCCTAGGAAAACCCGGCTTAACAAATATTTTGAAAATAAATTGACCCAGATGAGAACCCTGGGGGACTCCTGAAACCGTAGGGAATGGGAGTGACTTGGTTCTTTCAAACTTGAAAGTCGAAGTACGATCTAAACAGGCTTCCGACAATGTCATACCCCTTTAATTTTGTCAAAAGATGGTCGTGGCTGATGCAATTGAAGGCTTTACTAAAGTCTATATAGACTTAATCTAGTTGCTCCTTGGATGAATATGTTAGATGTGTATACGGCATTCTTGTTATCTTCAGACAAACTCAGGAGAAAGAGCACGAAGCAGAAACGAGGAGAGCACGATGGAGAAATTTAACAGCCACCATCTGAACCTCATTTTTACCAACGAATTTGAAGAAAACCAAAAGATCAACTTCCTTTACCTCACATTAGAGAGAAAGGGCAAAAAGATAGAGTTGGACATCTAAAGGAAACCCAGGCAAACAGACACAGCAATCAACAGTAAATCTATCCATTCAACAATTCACCGCAGCCTTAAGATCCATGCTAAATCAAGCATACAAAATCCCACTAAGCAAAAACAAAAGGAAGAAAGAACTGTACACCATGAAGAAGTTCGCGCAAGTTAAAGGATTTCAAACCAAATCAATAGTAGACATCGCAAGAAAGAGAAGGCGAAAAATCTATAGCCGGAATAAACTACACAGCAGTACAACGTCAGTAGAAACAAAATAGGAAAACAAAAGATATGCTATTAGTTTCACGGGAACCACAGCACAATAGACTGCTAACAGATTCAAGAAGTACGGAGTTTCAGGACCCAGAACACCATGAGTAAAATACTGCATCCTAAAAAGATTTAACAAATTCAACGCTTCGGGCATCTACAAAATTAATTGTAACGATTGTGATAGCTTCGACATTGGACAGACTGTGAACTTTATTAATTGCTTCAAGAACCAAATACTGCGTGGAGGAACAACAAAGCGGTTAGATCAAATGTCTCACAACACCTGTTACAAAATGGCCACTCAATAGGAAAGATGGAGAATAATCTATATATTTTAAAGAATTGTAAAAAAGTATATGTAATGAATGCTTAATTGTATATTTATAGGAAAAATGTAAAATAGAAATAAACTGATTAATGAACAAGTAGATGTCAACTCCAGTTGTACTTCTAGAAAGGTATTGGCCGGTACTTCCGGTAGCCAAAAGGATAATATAAATATGGACGCTATTCAAGATTCTTACCATTCGCCTATTGGGTCTGATGATGATTGTAGTGTCCCATCGAAATCAACACCCCTCATCATTTTCTTTTGAGTTAACAGTCTAAGTGTAAATATATGTTTTAAGTGTTATTAGACATATACATTTCCTCCCAAATACAATTCTTTAGCCGTTGGTGTATCAGCGACAGCTAAACTTTAAATAACCTCTAAAACATGAGTTTTGCCAACGATCTTCGTAAGGCTGCCTAAAGAACGTTTTTTATGTTTGAAATGTTGTTATGAAAACTTCAAGTAATACAACGCAGCGCCTACGCCATAGACGGACATATGTGTGCAAAGGTCGTGGAGTCGGTCGAGGGTCTCCGGGACCACTTGGGCCCATCACGAACCACTCTCGGTGGCGCTAACCACAGGCAATCCTGGTAGCATCGCATAGCAAGTGGTAAACAGATTCTATAGTGAATATGAATTCTCCACGCCTTTCACTCTTGTGCGGACTGTATGTCTACCTACTGACCGAGTTAAAGAGATAAAAGAGCCCGGGGTGGGGTGATAAGAGCAGTGCGGGACAGACCGCCATGGTGCAAGGACGTGAGCGGGTGCTGCTATTGGTAGCCGTGTCTGCGGTGGTGACGGTGGCGGTGGCCGCAGTCCCACGCCAGGACACCGCTCAGGACGTCGCGGACCCCTGGGACGGCGTCTACAACGACTGCCTGTCCACATGGTCGCTACCCTGCATACAGCGCAAACTACTCGTCTTCATCGACAGAATCGGCAGGGTCAAGAGTAAGTGCAACGGTTCAGTAGTTCCTTTTCTTGTTATTTCATTTACCGAGTTTTACAACAAATAAGTAAAAGCTAGGTGTTAAACAAAATTACACATAGCTATCAAAAACATAAAAATCGCAAAGTACGTGTCTGCACACCATGTAGTTTAAGATACTACGGTGTTTTAATTTAAATTGTTTACTTTACAACCTTTTCTTTTAATATCATGGTGAAATAAATTTGATTGGTTAAACAATAGCTTTTAATACAACTTTCACTTATCTATAATACCACATCATATTTTATTTAATCAGATACTTTGATTTGTTTACCTTCATATTAATAATTTTTTGTTTTAAATTTTGATTGACAAATCCTTAGTTGTATTATGTAACATCCCTGTTGATTCAAGTATTATTTTTATTTTATTAGTTTTTTTTTTAGTTTACATTTCCATTGCACTTACTGTTAAACCCTTTTTTAAATTTCAATTTTAGTAGCTTATTTTCATTGTTTATAAAACCATATACACAGAAAATACCTTATTCATTAGTTTAACAATTGAAGCAAATTGTTTTTATTTGACATGAGCCTAAAAAGTATTAGGTTGTATGTTTTCGTACCTATTGTATACATAAAAGTTCATTACTTATATTGCTAGATGAATTGCTGATTGGTTTGGATGTGAAATTGTTAATTCGAATGGTTAATATTTTTTCAATAAGCAAATGTTGACATATGCCAGCTAGTAAAAGCGTTTATGGTGTTATGTACATACTGGAAATTGATTCAATTTAAACTTTTTTAAATTAACTTTTTTATGCTTCTGATCATAATTACACTTTAGTGTCCAACTTTAAAAGACAGTTTAAAACGGTGATATATTCTCTATTCATGATCAAATATTTTAGGAATTTCATATTTTGGTTGGACAATGGTGCAATCAAATTGTCCAAATCTTGAATTTTCAAGAGTAGTTAGTGGTTTTGTGTTCTATCGAAAACTTGTATTGACATCAAACTAGTTGAACAAAATAAATTCATTTAACAGGTGTTATAATAAAATACAGGTCTACTAAGAATCTTACATACGTGCCTACATATGATTAAGTAAACATCTGATGAGTTTTAGACTTCTCTAGCAGAGTACCCGTCCTTCGTACGGGTTAACATCTATTGTAACTAGCTTATTTCAGTTATACCTCAGAGTAATTATTACTCTGAGGTTATATTCATGAAGGTATAGCAGCTATCGCTGAGTAAGAACCACCAGGATTTATGCAATAGGTAGTCTAAGAGTAAGGTATGATTACAGAATTGTATAAAAAAGATAATGGTTTAAACATTTTTACCATAATGAAATTTTTTAAATTATGTGCATTGAGTTCTTTATTTGGAAGAAACTAAACATCTATATTTTTTATTACCTAATCCAAACACGTGTAAGTGCTTAAATTATAATCAAATTCAATCAAAATTATTCAAATTATGTCTAATAATTTCTAAGTCTAATAATTGTCCTACTGATTTTACGGCCAGGTCCAAATTCACCAACATTTTTGGGGTCGTTTCTAATGTCCAAATTCACCAACTTTCTACCTTTAGCAGGTACGATATTTCTCCCGGCGGGCGGGGAAGGAATTCCCTCCGAATAGTTTGCCATCGCCTGCTCCGTCTCGTCTCGGCGAGAGTGTACTGTAACCTAACCTAACTTAACTTAACCTAACCTAACCTAACCTAACCTAACCTAACCAAACCTAACCTAACCTAACCTAACCTAACCTAAAGCTGCCTGAAACAATCACAGCTTAAACAGTACTATTAAGGCTAAGCAGTACACTCTCGCCGAGACGAGACGGAGCAGGCGAGGGCATACTATTCGGAATTCCTTCCCCGCCCACCGGGAGAAATATCGTACCTGCTCCAAGTAGAAAGTTGGTGAATTTGGACATTAGAAACGACCCCAAAAATGTTGGTGAATTTGGACGTAGCCGATTTTACAATATTCATCAATAAAATAATTTGTGTAAAGTCAACTTTGAAACACGGAGACAGAGCCTAGATTAATACAGACAATGGCTATAGAACCTTGCTTTTTCCCTTAATAAATGTCATAACTATATGAAATATTCAGCAAAACCATGTGGCAGGTTTATTTATTTTAGATGATTGACTTAAGATTAACTTTGAGATCAAGCTAGCTATCTATATAATTAATACGCTACATGAAACTTTGTCGGATGAACTCCTCCGCCATTTCTTAACCGATTTTATCCATTGACGTCTCATTGGAAAGAGCGTGTCGCGTAGATTTGCAAACTGGCCTTACATTTTTGAAAAAGTCCCTTGGGCTCTGCCCCAGTGGCTTTGAAAGTTCCCATGTTATCCTTATGAAGAACATAATTGTTTACATTTTGATCAGCTGTATAATTTAATTGCTGTTATTTATTTGTCAATTCAATAAAACGCATTGAGTACTTTTATTTACTATTTGAGTTTGTGTAAACATAACCCCCAAGACGGATCGTGTTACTATAATTGTATCTTAAATTTGATTTGTGTAATTATCGTTGTTTTGTGTCACCATTACGGATCGTGTTAAAATGATAGTAACTTAAATTTGTGCATTAATCGTTGTTCTGTGTAGCTATAATTTGTTTATTTGTTGTTTTCTCTTTCAAACGCCTACGACGCGACGAGAACGTGACGTAGTCAGGAAGCGTAATCGGGATAACGACCGCAGCTACAGAACAGTGACGCGTAATAGGCTTAACCATATAATATAAAACATACTCCTCAAGGATTATGTTTTATCTATGGCTTAACTCATGACAGTCACCTGACCCTGGACAATCTCAACTATTAGGTTACAAATGCACCCTAACACTACCCCAAAACGACTTTTCGTTCTCAATTGGCCCTCTATCAATAACCTGTGTTGACTGTACAGCGAGGCATTTTGAGACGGAGAAAACCGGCCGGAATGATTTAGGTTTATCAATAACGAAGAAAACATAGCTTACCTTACATGGCTATAAGTCAGAAAATGTTTGTAGGAAACATTAAAAAGCCATACCAGGCTATGAAATATGATACAATATTTACAGGAAATGTTGATTACTGTTATATACATCGTGAGTATCTCCATGAGCTACTCACCGGTAATCTTTGAGTCGACTCTTTTAAACCCATTGTAAATATGACTGTTATTCGTTTTGAAATAACTCCTGTAATTATTTTTTTATTGCTCGAATTTGAGCAACATGTACACTAGTGTGGTATTATTTGGAAATAAAACCAATTTGACAGATCTGTCATAACAAATGAAGGCCTAATCATTGTGAGGGGTTTGATTGTAGCCATGGAGACCAATCAATATTTACTTTTAAAATCCTCACCTCAGAACTTTAAAAGACAAAGAGGCAAAGCCCTCGGTCAATATCGAAGCGTAAATAAATAGCTCTAAGCGGATCCTTTGTATTGTAGATAAATCTTTTGTAAAATTTAAGCCGGTTCAGTAGTTTTTATGTGATTGAGTAACACAAATACAGACTTACACCATTAGATGTTTATCCACTGTAATAGTATGATTTCGTAAATATTGGGAGAGTTTTTAACCATTGCAAGTTGACTCAATGCAGATTCCATATACATAACGGCTCTATTGTCTCTGTGCAGAGTTGAACCTGGTGGGCGACGCCGTGACGATGGTAAGGGTGGGCGGAGACCCAGGACCTCCCATCACAGAGGACGGTCTCCAGGCGAGGTTATTGCCAGGCCAGGAGTCTGAGGTAGGCGCTCTGCTGCAGCACAGCTTCTTCAGCTTCCTCAGCAACCACGTGCTGAGGTTCAGTTTACCGGACGGTCTGTCAGTGACGTCAGGAGGACGAGCGCTAGGCGACTCCTTCGAGATCAACCTTGGCCGTGCCTATGAGGAAGGTACACGTCTTACATCTGTTTTGTTGATCTTACTTAATTATTATTTTTTACCTTCTCGGATTTAATTTGTTGGTTTCTATTATGCTTAACTTGTATAATCATGATTGCTCAATATTTAAAAATGTATTGTATGCAATAAATATGCGGCTAGAATATGTAGCACATACTTAGGCTAGAAACGAAGAAAATCGATCGACGAAAAAAGTTAGACGTGCTACCTGATAATCGTACTCACTTTATTACGATTTAGATTTTCAATACCATGTCCTGCTTAGGTAAAAAATTATAATGAGTTATTAAGAACTTGATCAAATCTCTTGTGTCACTTGCCCTTTCAGCCAGAGCGAAGCCGACTGACAAGGTCAAGGTCAATACCTAGTTCCCAAATTAAATCTTGATAAATTTGCATCCGTTGTTTTCTTTTACTTAAGAGTTTGTTTTGTTTTTCCAGCACGTGGTAAAAAGAAGAAGCAAATGATGATGATGGGCGCGATGATGATGGCCAAGGCGGCGATGCTGGGCAAGATGATGATGTTGATTATCAAGTTCAAGGCCATCAAGGCGCTGCTGCTGAGTATCGTGGCCCTGGCGTTGGCGAAGATACAGCTGTTCAAGTCACTCAAGAACAGCGGCGGAGGTAAGGGGGGTGGCAAGGAGACCTACATCATTATAAAGGCAGGCAAGGGTGGCGGCGGACACGGCAGTCCCCCGAGTGGAGGCGGCGGATGGTCTGACAGCAGCGGAGGCAGTGGAGGCGGCGGGGGCGGCTGGAGCAGCGGAGGTCAGCCTTCTTCATACACACAACACTTTATAGCTTCTTACACCTCACTTGAACTGCACAAAGCACATCCTTGTATTAACAAGGAATAATGTTGTCATCGATGAGAGGTTGCCGTGGGTCTTCATTACTTAAAGCAAATCTAGACTGCCTTTTAGCGAATTTCCCTATAGGGAAGTAGCTATTACCGTAGGTGGCATGGTAAGACCTAGACCCGGGACCGATTTACTTTTTCATTTTGATGTCCCCAGAGGCCAAAAACACTATTCGTTCAAATTTTTATATATGTATATATATATATATATATATATATATATAGACTTATATATATATATATATATATACGTCCGTGAACGCGATAACTTGAGTAATTTTTGTCCGATTTTGATGAAATTTGGTTTAAAGGTGTAAAGCGGGATAAACTTGAATGAGTTCGCGAACCAGCACGATCGGACCATGGGAACGGGGCTTTACGGGGGGTTTTATGGGGTAAAAATTAGTTTTTCTCACTTTTGACCCTCAAAACACAAAATTTCCCAATTTCTCTTTAGACCTTTTTAAAGAGCTTAAAAAAACAAATAATTTAGTATATAAAAGTATTTTTGTTCGAATATTAGTAACGGAGAAAATTAAAAAAACTGTAAATTTAAAATTCCCATGTTATTCTTATGGAGAATATTGTCAAATGTTGTAGTTTGCTTGTTTATGAATATATTTTGATCAAACTTGGCAAATTTATTTATTTTGTACTGAGCTATCAATATTTTACTCAAAAACACACATTATTAGTTTCCTTGTAGCAGCAAACCTAGGTACTCGTTAAACCTAATATTATTCAAATATATTTAACTGAAAATCAATCCAGACAAATGGAAATTCGCTTAGTCGGCAGGTTTGCTGCGGCGGGGGTATTTTTAATCAGAATATATTTTTTCAGAGACAGATTATTTTCCCCATATTATGCTATCAATACTTCTAGGGTTTTCTTATTTATTGGATTTGATGAATTAGACTCATTTTACCGTTCAAACTTAGTATTTTATAGAGTACTTTCTACCATATATTTTGAGTTACAATTACAAGTTTGCATATGAATATTTAGTCCTGTCATATTAGGGTTTTAGGTGGAAATAATTCCCTAAACGGGGAAACTTTGCATATGGTAGTACTAGTACCCAGTAACAACATACTAAACATCAACGTTCCTGCATGCTGTGCTACAAACATGTGTGTAATGAAAAACATGTGCATCTAGGAAAATGGCGGCCAATTTTCACTTTTAGCGAATTTCCCATATAGGGAATAAGCTATTACCGTAGTACTCATGGTAAGACCTGGACGCGGGACCGATTTTTTTTTTCGTTTTGAGGTCCCTAGAGGCCAAAAACACCATCCGTTCAAATTCATATATATATATATATACTAGCTGTGTACCCGTTCTACGCACGGGGATCTTATAATATTCAGTTGAAACCTTCTTATATAACGAACAGCAGTTGGTTTGCATATTTTAAGATATGCTGGCCAAACTATTATACATAGCTTCATTTTATGTTGTTTTTTGTTGTTCCGGATCGGTATGACAATCAATAAAAGGTTAAATTACCTCTGTGTCTGCCGGTCGATCCTATAACGGTAGGCTTACTTTTATTTTTACTATCTGATCTCGTTTGCATGGCTCAATCACGTCCTGGTTGAAGTTCGTTCGCTACGCTCACTCACCTGTATGTAAACGTGTCAACCTACGTTTATTCGAACGAGTTCGCGATCCAGCATGATCGGACCATGGGAACGGGGGTTTACGGGGGGTTTTATGGGGTAAAAATAGGTTTTTCCCATTTTTGACCCAAAAAACATAAAATTTAGCATTTCTTTCCAAACCATTTTGTAGAGCTTAAAAAAACAAATAACTTAGTATATTGAAGCGTTATTATGCGCCTAATTGTTACGGAGAAAATTCCAAAAAATTTTAAATTTAAAATTCCCATGTTATTCTTATGGAGAATAAGTAAACTGTTGTAGTTTGCTTGTTTGTGAACATATTTTGATCAAATTTGGAAAATATTTTTATTTCTTACGAAACTATTCACATTAAAAAAAAAACAGTTTTACCCTCCCTGATGCAGCAAACCTAAGTACTTGTTAAACTAATTCTATTTAAATCAAGAATAAATGTTATATTTTTAAGTAGACATTTCAGTGTAAATCCAATCAGTCAAATGGGAATTCGCTTAGTCTGCAGGTTTGCTGCGGCGGGGGTATTTGACCATATTTCACTAAACATTGGAAATCTAGATGTTTTGTACAAGCAAACGTTAAATGGCACAGAAGAATAGATCTTTTTAGTCCTTACAATATTTGTCCTATCTCTAACGGTTACTGATAAAACCCGAAGTTTATATTAAACTAAACTGCCCATGTTATTCTTATGGAGTATAAGTAAACTGTTGCAGTTTGTTTATTGTGTTTTATCTTTTGATGAAACTTGTAACATTTTATTATATGATTAGCAATTAACATTTTACTTAAAACACACTTTATTACTCTCTCTTTAGCAGCAAACCTAAGTACTCGTTAACATATAATGTTGTTATTTAAATGGGAAATCAATCTGACATTTTTTAAGGAAATATTTAGGTAAAAATCCAATTAGGCTAATGTAAGTTCATTTTTTATACATTTTAACAAATCTTTTTGTTGATTAGTATTTAAGTTTGAAGCCACATCTTGCCATAATTATGTAACCACTGACATGGTACGTTATTACTACCGGTTTCATGTTTTTAGTTTTTTTTATAGCTTTGTATTTTTTAAATGTATACCTTTTATATTTAAAGCCTGCTGTAAAAGGATTTTCACGTCACGGCCACTGCGATGTAAGATTTGCTTGAGACAAAAGTAAACTGCTAGGAATCAAACAAAATTCTTGTTTTGTTCAGATTAGTTTTAAATCTTTCTCAGTAACCATTAGGGATAGGCCAAATGCCGTAAGGTCTATAAAGATGTACAGGGAGGATGATAAAGTGTGTTTTAGTAAAATATTAATACATTAGTATGAAATACAAAAAATTGCCAAGTTTGATCAAAATGCATCCATAAACAAGAAAACTACAGTTTTCTTACTCTCCATAAGAATAACATGGGAAGTTTAGATTTAATATTAATTTAGGTTTTCCTCAATAACCGAGAGTAAGAACTGAAAATATGTGTTGTTGTGTGTTCTTTAACTTTTGTTTGAATAAAACTTCTGTATTTCTGACGGTTAGTGAAATTTTGGTAAAAAATGAAAATCAGCTGCCATTCTCCAACATGGCGGCCGTAACACACCATGCACGAATGTTGATTATTAATACTGTATGTTGTTACTGGGTACTATTACTACACATGTGAAAAGTTCCACCATTTTGGGAATTATTTCCAGGTAGAGGGCTATTTTTACCTAAAATGACTGGATTAATTTTGGTAATATATAAAATACTGTGAACTTAAATATAGCAAATTAGTCGTGACTCGTGAGAGACGAAATAATAATAATAACATTTGCGTTTAAGGTACTGTTAGGCTATATTACTGAAGCTTATATAGTCAATGTTTATGGTACTGTTAGGCTATATTACTGAAGCTTATATAGTCAATGTTTATGGTACTGTTAGGCTATATTACTGAAGCTTATATAGTCAATGTTTATGGTACTGTTAGGCTATATTACTGAAGCTTATAGTCAATGTTTTATGGTACTGTTAGGCTATATTATTGAAGCTTATATAGTCAATGTTTTATGGTACTGTTAGGCTATATTATTGAAGCTTATATAGTCAATGTTTTATGGTACTGTTAGGCTATATTACTGAAGCTTATATCAATGTTTTATGGTACTGTTAGGCTATGTTACCGGTACTGAAGCTTATATGGTCAATGTTTTATGGTACTGTTAGGCTATATTATTGAAGCTTATATAGTCAATGTTTTCAGGGATTTGGGATATCATACTTCTTACTCACTTATTGTGACCCAATATAAAATTCATTATAGAAAACACCCATTTAGAAAAAGTATGGACAGTGGGACTGTAATTACAAGTCCACGCTTCATTCACTTTCCTTGTGTGAACTCGCTTACCCAAGCACATTTCAACCCGCTTAGCAATCTTTATCATTTCATCTGTCTTTTATATTTTGATAAAATATTGGGTACGATGTAACATAAAAACATCATTCTTCATATACTTGAATATACTGTTTAGTTCGTTTTGTCATTATTATACTGATTATTTTTTGATAGTTTACTTCCCAAAAATATTTGTAACTGCTGACATGCCACAAATTGGCAAATATTTTAAACATGGAAGCAGAATGTACGGTCCATGAACGAAAAGAATTTAATTGTATTCCAAGGCAACGGAATGGAATCAAGTAATCTTAATTTATCGAGTTTTTCTAAAAGTTAATAGTTGCTACTGTCAATTTAACCATTATTATAACAAATGTATGTGACCTATGAAAATCCAAAAGGGGATAGAACAATTCCAAATTTTTAACCATGCCATCTTGATAGCATCACTAGTCAACATTTTATGATTAGGTAAAATGTAACAATGACCATTTCTAGAAAATAGACTATTTGTGATGTCTGCTAGCAATGGTTATTAGGCATCTCATAGGTTATGTGCTGCTTATTTTTGTATCGTAATGAAGATAGTTTCTTGGACGCATTTGTGCATACATGGCCTTGTTTTTATACGTTAAATGTGTACGCGTTATCAAAATTAATATTTCCTCACAGAGGCATTCCCTATGACTTAGTGTTAATGTATTAATCGACAACTTGATTGCAGGAGGAGGTGGTGGATGGCAAGCTGACAGTGGAGGTGGAGGTGGTTGGAGCAGCGGCGGCGGCGGCGGTGGAGGTGGAGGTGGCGGCTGGTCCAGTGGAGGCGGCGGTGGCGGCGGCGGGGGCAGCAGTGGTTGGTCTGGAGGCGGCGGTGGCAGTGGTGGTTGGGGTCGTAACTACGACGCCAGCTGGCTTGCCTACAGAGCACATGCGCAGAACAAGACTGACACATAATCTTGGCGCGCCTCATACATTAACTTGTAGTCAAACAGTCCCTTATTTGGTAACTGCAGGGTTTTTACCTATATTTATTTTTTACGATAATGATACCGGTACGCTAAAATCTTGTTCAATGACATCAGTCTGTATTATCTTTACACTATGACTAGAAAAATAGTGAACATTTAACTAGTTTCATGTGCTAGCCTCCTCAATGTGAAAAGTATTTTATCTAAGACAATTTTGTATACGTTAAGTATGTGTCTGTTTTGATTTGTGTTATAGATTAGACCTATAGAAATGAATGTACATGTTCTGGATAAAATTGAAAGATGACTTTGAAATCAAAACAGAGATCACTAAGTATCAGTCTTATTAAACTAGTAAGCCATCATTAGCAGTGTTTAAACCGGAGTTTTCAGAAAATGTGTAAAAAAAATTTTCACAAGCAGTGTCATTTGCAACACGCTCCGGTGTAAAAGTGAAACTAGTACTGGAAACAAGATGTTAACAACTCGTAGGAAAAAAGTTGTGTTGGTAAACCACTGAAAATCTGTTGTAAACATTTAAATGGTTCCAATGTTAAACTAGCTTTTTGATTTAGAATGTTGTAAACTCTAGTGTAAACGTGACTTCAGTGATATTTTATTGTTTTGATATACAGTATGTGTGTGCATGATAAAACTAAGCTTATTCTCGCGACTCTCATGTTAAACTTAGTAGGTTTTTAAGGTATTATTGTTCCTGCAACCCATTGTACTTTTGATGTTTAAGACGATAATTCTATCCATATAATGATTCGATAGGCCTACAATAGATTGATAGTATGTTTTAACATTTTTAGACATACTAATTTCATATAACTATATTCTGTTCACTTAAGTTAATCAAGTGGTTGTATTTATTTAGGCTTTTGATTTCATTTACTTGTTTTCTAGGAGAATTTTGGGTTAAAGCTCAGCATATTCTGATTTGTGTGGATATACAACTTAAGTGTCATAAAATACGTACATACATGAGTAGTTTATATTATGTGTTCATAAACTAATTAAATGTTATTATTGTGATTACTGTTTTATAGACTAGTAATGGTGAGTTCTCAATATCAAAATACTAATTCATTTCAAGAACATATTTATTTCGTTAGTGATATTCTTTGTGATGTATAATTTGTACATATATCTTTTTACTGATCTTGTAAATATTTATGTTATTTATTATTATTTATTTATTTATTACATTTCAATGCAAAAATAATCGAATGGTTTTTATTTATTACCTTTGGTTTTATCAAGTAATATGTGTTGAGTTATCATAGCTTATACCTTAAAAAACTACATATTTAAATTGAACACATTTTCAAGTGACAATTAAATTAATGTCTGGTCTTGTATATCTCTTGGCACAACAATAAACTCTCTCTGGAATGCAACACAATAAATACGGATGCACGTGATAGCCGTGCTTGATCATTTTATACATCTTTATAAAATAATCATGCATTACTAACCTCTGATCACGTCAAAACATTTTACAGTTTTCAAAACCTGACAACCTAGCTGCAAAATAAACGGGGGTTTTAAATATTTTTTTCCGTAACACAGTTTGTTTACTCAATAATATAAATGTTTGTTTTGTTCGCTGATTTAATTCATTGGACTACGGATCTGACTGTTTATATATATCTGGAACTTACCTGCTACAAACTTTAAGTTCTCTAATTTCTTAAATTTATTTTCAGATCAACATTGCAGAGCAATTCTTGCAAATCTTGAAACTACAATGAACTACAAAATATATTCATTAGTTTTGTTAATAATCAAACTTTATGGACTTCATAATTGTTTTGTATTCCAGAGTGTCAGTAAGATAAAGCCAATTTGTCTTTGTATATTTATTTGTTTTTGTATATTTGCGGTTGACTGCAACGAATACTTTTTATTAATAGACTAGGCAAAATACTAAAGATAGTATAGGGTAAACATAGAGCGTTTTGTCCGATCTATAGATAGCTCTATACTTCTCATAAGCAAGTCATCTTTTGATACCTAGAAAAACAGATTTATGCACAAAAGTAAAAGCTATCTTCGTATTTTATCCCGTTCAAACTAGTAAAGTGCATACTGACTCTAAACAAACCACTAAGAAAACGTGTTCGTAAAGATAGTGAACCCTAAACATAACTACTATTTTATATACAGATACACACAGATGCATTCATATATTTTGGCTCGTTTAACTAGTAGTCAGAAGTAGTTATGAAATCTGATTCAGCTCATTTTAATGAAGATACATTTGTTTGCGTGGTCAGGTTGATCCCCGGTATGTGCAACAAGAGGTTGTGCAGCCATAAGATCCATTCTTTTCATTTTACTGAATTTGCATAGAATTTTTCATTTATTTTGTGAAGATTAAATACTTTAGTATATTGAAGCAATGTTGTTTGCTTAACGGTAACGGAGAAAATTAAAAAGAGTGTTAATTAATAATTCTTATGTTACTCTTATGTAGAATAAGTAAACTGTTGTAGTTTGCTTATTTACTGATATAATTTAGTCAAATTTCCCAATTTTGTTTATTTCATAATAAGCTATGACCATTTCAATAAAAAAACAATCCTAATTGGTTTCCCTGTAGCAGTAAACATAAGTATTCGTTAAAAATAATTTTATTTTAACAGGATATAAATGTGACAATTTTTAAGGGATTATTTTTTAGTGTAAATCTAGCCAGGTAAATGGGAATTCGCTAAGTCTGTAGGTTTGCTGTGGTGGGGATATTTTGGTATCCCCAATACTGTCATACTGTGCTTATACCTTTAAACTACATATTTAAATTGAACACATTTTCGAGTGACAATTAAATTAATGTCTGGTCTTGTATATCTCTTGGCACAACAATATACCCTTTATGAAATGCAACACAATAAATACGGATGCTGAGTAGACAAACTTTTACATTCCATTAGTACATTCCACGTCCAAATTCTAATTATCTGTACTGTATTTGATCCTTATAGAAGTCAAAATTGTAATCGACTTTTTTTAAATTCAGTTGTGCGTGATTTCATTGATAAATTCATTGCCATCACCATTCCCATATGTTTTAGGTAAATAAACAAGCTGGTTGTTTGTAAGATTTTAATGGTAAGAGTTTAGTACAACCACTGACTATTGGATACAGAAGTACAACTATCCACCACTGTGACGTAGTGTTGCGCTGCCCGTGCTGCAGCATGGCCTGTTTTTTCTAGTGGGGCCTTGATGGACGTGCTTGGGGGTTGGTTGTTGTTTAATACAGTTGTGCGTGATTGACGTGCTTGGGGATTGGTCGTTGTTTAATACAGTTGTGCGTAATGGACGTGCTTGATCATTTTATACATCTTTATTAAATAATCATGCATTACTAACCTCTGATCACGTCAAAACATTTCACAGTTTTCAAAACCTGACAACCTAGCTGCAAAATGAACGGGGTTTTTTTTATATTTTTCGAATCTTTTAGCGAATTTCCCTATAGGGAAGTAGCTATTACCGTAGGGCTCATGGTAAGACATAGGCCCGGGACCGATTTACTTTTTTCATTTTGATGTCCCCAGAGGCCAAAAACACCATTCGTTCAAATTTTTATATATACATATATGTGTGTGTCCATCCGCACGATAACTTGAGTAATTTTTGTCCGATTTTGATAAAATTTGGTTTGAAGGTGTAAGGCGGGAAAAACTTGAATGAGTTCGCGAACCAGCATGATCGGACTATGGGAACGGGGGTTTATGGGGAGTTTTATGGGGTAAAAATAGGTTTTTCCCATTTTTGACCCTAAAAACACAAAATTTCACTATTTCTTTTTAAACCATTTTGTAGAGCTTAAAAAAACCAATAATTTAGTATATTGAAGCGTTATTATGCGCCTAATTGCTAGGGAGGAAATACAAAAAAAATTTATTTTAAAATTCCCATGTTATTCTTATGGAGAATAAGTCAACTGTTGTAGTTTGCTTGTTTATGAACATATTTTGATCAAATTTGGAAAATACACTAATTTCTTACTAAACCACAGTACCTACCTTTTAACATTTTACATTAAAAAAAAACTTTTTTACCCTCCCTGTTGCAGCAAACCTAAGTACTCATTAAACTAATTCTGTTTAAATAGGGAATAAATAATGTGATATATTTAAGGAGACATTTTAGTTTAGATCCAATCAGTCAAATGGAAATTCGCTAAGTCTGCAGGTTTGCTTCGGCTGGGGTATTTTTTCTTCTGAATCTTCTTGCAAAATTAATGTTGATCATTATATTAATAGAATAATGTAGTTCCTGTGACTGGGGTACACACGACAAACTGTTGGGACATAATGATGATGTACGTTTTGTTTGGAAATTTCTTAAAATCCAGACCCACCTTTTAAGAATTTCAAGTTAGGGGTCAGAATTATATACTCTCGAAATGACTATATACACCATTATATACTAACGTTTTTAGTTTTGACCCATTTAAATTATAATTAATTAACAGCTTAATTGTATTGTAAATAATAAATAATTTACTTATGCAATCTGATAAGTTTACCAGGTACCAAACAGGAAAACATCATACGATAGGCCAAGGAAGCAAGATTTGAGTTTGGTTTATAAAATGCAGAAGCCAAAATACTGAATGTTTCCTAATAAATCAGACAATGACATAATAATACTAAATTAATTAATTTGATCTTAAATGAACATTCTTTCGTAAGTAATACAACATTGTCCCTAATTGACAACATGTCAGTTTTTGTTTTGATTTAACCTCCAAAATTGACATGTGAGCATTGAACACATGATCACACTCAAGACAGCCAAAAAGGTTCATCCTCAAAGATATTCCAACATACCTCGACCACTGCTAGCTAAAAAATACAACTGCAGGCCTACATATTTTTGGTCAAGTTTTCGACCACTGGACGACCTCTAGTTTGTATGAAATGTATAGAAGAGAATAACTTACGTTAGATTTTGTGTTTTCATACT